TGTGTGTGTGTGTGTGGGTGCTCATGAAATATGAGCAGATAATCGCGGGCCAGAAATTCTTCCGGCGGTCCGACAGGCAGGTTGGTATGCTGCACAGAAGAATGCGGAACCTGGAAAGCCAAAACAATGTTGCAACGAAGGAATGAGAGGAAAAACTGACGAAGGACCCAGGGTGGGGTCCTGAAGGACAGGACAGCGTGAGAGGGTGAGGGAAAGAAAAAAAAAAAAAAGTCCAGAAATGGAGGAGGTGGAGATGGAGGAAGAGAAGGAATGAAACAGGGAGTAGTTTTTATCACAATGGAATGAAAATATGCCCAAGCTCTGAGTGGAGTTCAGATGTGTCAGAGTAATGAGAGAACAAGAGTTTGTTCGTGAAGCCTCGCTGGCATTTGGAGCCAAACAAACAGAGAGTCCACCCTGCCTTCAGGGAACATTTTCAGCAGCTAAAACAAATGTAAACACCCTCTTCAACTGATCTCTTCACTACACTGCTATGCAAAAAGTGTCTTTCGAGGCTCTGGATTTCTTATTATTACTACTTTCTTGCGTAGTTGTGAAGTGGAAGGAAAAAATAATACAATTTTAACATGTTATAGTAATAAGAATCCAAAGAATCGCACGTGTTTGCATTCGTCACCACTGAGTCGGTATTTCTGTGCAAGTAGATTCAAGAAATGAGTCCTTATAAAGTCTTCATTAAAATATGTTCCTGTTCCTCTTTGTGTACCAGCTGAAGCTCGGTCAGCTTGGCACATATTGTCAAATGAACTTAGTTCTGGCCCCTGACTAACACATGTGCATGCTTTGTTTTAAGCTATTCAAATGTAGCTCTGGTTGAACGTTTTAGGTTGTCATTCTGCTAAAATGGGAACCTTCACTCCCCCCCAGCATTTTGCATTTAGTCCAAAAAGTAAAACTTTGGTTCCATCTGTCCAGACCACATTCTTCCACATGTCCTCTATAAGCAAGTGCCTTTTTCTTTTTCTCTATCAAATAAAATTCCCTGAAAAACATGGAATTTTGCGCTTGTATTTTTGTCAAATTGGGAAAAGGTTCAAGATGTGCTCAGACACTTTAAAGCCAATCCAAGGCTCCTCCATTCAGAGCCTATTTCTCTCTATATATAATGTTGATGCACACTGCAGCTGAAAAAAACAAACAAACACATGAGCAGACGCGTTATCCACTGTAACACAATGCAGTCGAGAGGTGTGGAAATCTCCGCTGTTTAATTCAGAAATCGGTGCAGTGGAAAAAAGGATTCTGGGGCTGTCACCGCTAAGCTCCTTGTTCCCCGGTGTATTACTGGAGATGCAGAAACACTGGGAGGAGGGATGCCACCGCTCACTGCATTGTAAACAGGTTTTAGTGTTGGGAAAAATAGGCATCTAGTGATGCGTGTGTTTCTAGGAGCAACACAGGAGGAACGATGGCATCAATTGCAGCGGACGCTTATCCGAGTGCTGCGTCTGGGGTATACATGTCGCCTTCTGAGAAAGAAACTAGAGATAAAAATGTAGTATTTGTGGCTATGTTTGTTTGGAATGATGGAATTATAGGTGGAATTATTCAACATGTTTCCTTTCCTCAATATGATCTGCAAAAACAGTGTAAAAAAAAAAAACCCAGTACAATCCACATGTGAGAAAACTGCTCAGATAAACTTAAAAATTACATATTAATATGAGAATAATGCTTAACCCTCCTCAATGTATGTCTATCTTAAAGAGAGTTTGGGGCTGCACCAGATTTTTTATTTCTTTCTTTTTCCGGAAAAAATGAGTCAAAGCAGAGCAGCGAGGACAGCAGTAAAGTGATTCTGGCAGGCAGGAGCAATACATAAGACATGAGCAACACGGAGGAGGTGAGCGGGTCGCAGCTCCAGCCCCGTTCTATTCATAGACCGTGCCGATAACAGGTCGACTTCTCTGGGAAAGCAGCAGGCAGAGTGAAAAGGGGGGAGGGGGAAGGTGACAGAGCAGAGACAAAGAGGGAGGCTGCAGGGAAAAAAAAAAAAAATCACCTGTGGAAAAAAGAGAAAGAACCAAGCTTAAAGAGGAAGAGATAAAAAAAAGAGGATGGGTTTTGGGTTAAGGCAAAAAATAAAAAATAAATAAATAAAAGAAGATAAGAGGGGATGAGATGATGGGGAATCTGAAAAAAAAAAAAAAAGCGGTGCATTTCGCCCACACACACCTGACAGTGATGGGGAAAGAATGGATTTCCCTCGAAAAGGTTGGAGTGATTTGAAGTGAGGCTTGAAGAAAACAATGAAAAGGAGGCAGGAGGAGGATTTTCCAAAGAAGCCAACAAATTCTAGCAGTGAAATACGAAAGGAGATATTTGAGGATAATCCGGAAATAAAAAGGGAGACGAGTCCGGGTCAGGTTAAAATCAGACGTGTGTAGTGTCAGGTGTTGAGGCCTCAGGTTGGGATTGGAGCACATTTCTTACCCATATGCAGAGAGTGACCAAAAAAGGCAAGATATGAATGCCTGACAGTGCTTATGGTTGGAGCTATATGCTAGAGCTAACAAAGCCAAATATGGGATGCTGTCTGTCCGTCTACAAAGAGCTCATGAACACAGCTTCTCTCTTGACAGTTTCTTACACATTCGACTTCAGATCCTGTCAGATTGATACACAGATCTGTAATTTTTTAGAGTATAGCCCAGGACACTCTTGTAAATCGCCAGTTTGAAGGTGAGAAACCCCACAGACAACACATGCTCTAACACTGCAGTATGTAATACACTATTTATGTATTTGTTGCATCAGAGAGATCATCTGTGGAAAAAAAAGTCAAGGTCCTCTTCCTCCTCCCTATAATCAGAAAAACAACCAATCAGAATCAGGAGGAGGGTCCCAGCGCTGTCAGTTATGCTCATGTATGACCCACTCAGTGTGCTAATGGTGGACTAACAACTTAACATTACAGAAAAACTGTTTATCCGCTGTCGTCGGCGGCCATGCTAACTAGCCTTGGCACTCATAGCAGACTCTGTTGTGGTGAACCAGCAGAGAGAACGGGAGAGGATGTGAGCAGCGCATACATGAGAGTGACTGACAGCCCTAAGCTCAATATTTTCGCATTTTATCTGTCTCGTGTCATTACCATCATGGCACGGTGACGGTTCCAACAAATTCATAAAAGTTACATAGAGCAGCTTTAACACATCAGATAACATTCAAAGAGCAGTCTAAGAGGTCACTGTTGCTTCAAAAATAACTTCAGAAAAGTTAACTGGTTTGTATGGCACATTAGGCCCAAGCTGTTGTCTTTCCTTTAGGACATTGTTCCTCTTCATCACATTGAGGATGAGCACAACGCTGCTGAGTGCCTGGAGGCTCTGCTACACATTTTGAGGGGATTTGAGGAGTGAAAAAAAAAAACACTTGAAAAAGGTTAAAGGAAAAAAAAGAGAACATACTTCAGTAAGTACAGGAGGCACACAGCAGGTCAAGTGTTTCTTGAAGACGCCTGCTGATCCTGCACAGTTGACTCCAATAGATAAAGACAAAAAGTTGGATCAAGACATCCTGCTCTGAAGTGAAAGGAAGAGTCTGGTTCTCACTCTGGTTGTTTAAAGCGCTGCTTCAACGAGATTAAAGTACTTGTGGCAACAAAACCACGGCTTAATTCCTTCTATTATACTGATACTAAAACATCATGATTGTAAGGAACAAACTATCAGAAATACACACCTACAGATGGACAGAGACCCTGTTAACACACTCATAGCTATGATGGATCAAATCATGTTCAGGCGTTAGGATGGCCCAGTCAAAGGCCAGACATAATGTTTCACCTGAGTCATGTTTTAATTTTAATGCTTTGCCTTATTATATTTATCTGCATGAAAGACACTTTCTAAATAACTTTTAGTTACTTACTGGATCTAATTGAAAATATGTGGCAAGACTTTTTTTTTTTTAAATGGCTGCTCACAGATATTCTGTCCAATCTGACTTGAGCTGTTGAGCAAAATAAAACGGACAAATATCCTGACAATGCACAAAACCAGAGGAGACACACTCCAACAGATTCACAGCTGTTGTCGCTGGAGGGCTGAGTAGATGTTCACACCGCACTGTCTTCTAAAAAAACCTTCTGAAAACAATGTTGTTTTTTTCCTTCTACTTCAGATTTATGCACTACTTCGTCTTGGTTAATCCCAACACACAGCACTTGTAAAAAACAATAATAAATTGGTTGAACCAGTTTGAGTAAATAAAAAAAAGCAATCTAAACCAATCATTTGGTTGTGCAGAGGAGTTTTGTCCTCACTCAGCTGAATCATCTGGTTTTCCTCTGTAGTGATTTGAGCTGCTTTACTCCATATCGCTTGATGGTTCCCCCCCACCCCCAGCGCACTCCTCCAACCCCCCCAGGCCCCTCTCATAAGAAGCTCTGCCAATCTAGCCGAGGACCCATGCCAGCGGAAATGGCCACCCTTTCATTTAGCTGGACCGGCTACATTCCTCGCCTAAAACAAAGCGGTTGCTGTTCACCATATTAAGGCAATCTTGCAACAGATACCAGCTCCGTGGTGAAACGGACTCCTAATCCCTCCTTTCAAGCTGGCCTCTTGGTCCTCATCCAGTTGTAGGAGAATTGACAACTGAACTCCCCCGGGGGTATGTTTTTTTTTTTTTTGTTTTTTGTTTTTTTTTGCCCTGCCTATAATAAAACAAGCAATAATGCTTTTTTTTTCTTTTTTTTTTAAATAAAAAACACATGTTTCATTAGAGGACTAAGAGACATCCTGATTGAAAACATAGGAAACAAAGAAAACGCTGATGCACTTGCAGTTAGCTTCTAATAAGCTTAGAGTACTGTGAGGCTCAGGTCCCTTTAAGTGGTGCGGAAACGCGTTGCCGCCATGCTAATTCCCTGACGTTCATGACTGACCTGAGTCCAGGAGGATTAGAATGGATGCCCACTCTAAAAGGGATTGCATCTCCCTCTCTGTTTTTTCCACTCCTTCCCCTTTTTTTCCCCTCTTCTCTTGCTTCCCGTTTCTCCCTGCTTGAGCCTGCCCTGACCCAGACGTCTGTTCCTCGTCTGAGCTCCTGCCAGATTCCTGCAAGGAGAAGAATGCAAGAGAGGGCCTCACCAAGGCGCAATTAACATTTTGTCAGTGCCGTGCCCACACCTATGCAAGCCTCTCAATGACAGCGTTTTCATGAAAAGCAAATATTTGCACAGAAAAGCTGTCTCCAGGCGACCGCCGAGAGGACGGGGAGGATAATTGAAAGGGAGCTTGTGGCTCTTCTTTCAGAAAGAAGAGGAGCCGAGATAAATGAAGACGAGGGCGGTGGTGGCGAGGGAAGATCTTAGAGGAGAGGGAAGCAATGGGAGAGACCTTGCTCTGTGGGTGGGAGGGAGTAGTGGGAGATGCTGAGAGAACACCAGGAACGGTAAGGAGCCCCTCCTTCTTCTGCCCTGCACTCAACTAAACACACACCAACTCCCCTGACACACCCTAATGGGAAAAAGACACATATATGTACAGGAATTTAAACAACCTCCGTCTAAACAAAGAATTGCCTTCATTAATGAATGGAATAAAGGTTCCTTATACCTTAAACCTTCTATAAGCAACGTCTGACAACCGAGTTCAAGGTTGGCCGGTCTTTGTGCCGTGCTTTTTGCCTGCTCCAGCCTCTATGTTGTTGTAAAAATGTTTTTTGGAAAAAAAAAAAAAAAAAAAAAAAAAAAGACAATCTCAAACTGTGTTTAAAAGAATCTCTGTTCAGCGTAGATACATCCATTTGAGGTTTTTACTCATATATTTATTCATTTTTCTAATATCTGGCAGGTTCAGCCGGTGTAACTTTGTATGGGAATACAATTAAGCTAATCAAAACAGCACCAGGCTAACAATAGTTTTTTCGTGAAATTATGATCTACTAACATCGACAGCAATATGTGAACATTTTAATTTTAATTGGTTTTAATTAGCAAGATTCAGCAAAACAGATAATGTACAGTACGTCTGACTGGCTTGAAGGGCGTCCGTCACTTTACAAAGTTATTTAATTTCCAATAACTTCACAGGGATACGGCATTACAAATAACATTAAAAATAAGAAGTTCATGAAGCCTATGCTAAACTGGATTTGCAAAATGAGATGTGAACAATCAGAGGGGCACAAATGAAGGAACTTCTTTATTTTTAAATACATTTTATCCAGTCAGTAACTGTGCCACCCATCAGGGCATGCAGCCCTGGGTGGAAAGCCACCAGGAAGAATCGCAAAAATAATTCCTGGTGCATCACTGAGGATTGTGGGAATATAAAAGAAGACAGGATTGAAAAAAAAAACGTTCAAACATACAAAGGAGGTGAAGAATGCAAATTGGAGATTTTGTTTGATAAAAAAGGAAATTTGAATCTGACAAAGGACAGAGAGGAGGAGAACTGACGCTTTTCCGAGCAGAGCAGACTGCATATCGTCCTTCATTTCCCCAAAGAACATCCCTCCCCACTGCTGCCCCCAGCTGGGAGAACAAACACGCACGCACACGCACGCACACAGACACGCATGCACACATGAGCCTGACTGTCAAGTTGGGGGAAGGGTACACTGTGATGCAGGAAGATGGAGACGGATAGTGATGGAGAGGAGAACAGCAGATGAGAACAGATGCAACAAGGACCAGAGGGAAAAGGAGGCTTGCAGAAAAAGACAAAAAAAGACCTGCTCCTAAAAAAAAGAGAATAATTTAGTCAAAGCATGTCTGCTGTTCCACCTGCCCACTTGACTCAACGCAGCCCTCTGTCCTCACGTAAACACTCACCACAAATTTCCCTGTTCCTCATTCGTGTTATCTCCCTACCACACACGCATAAATACGCACCACAAACATTTCAACAGAAATCCCCCTCAGAGAAGTAACTCAGTGGTCAATAATGTGGCAAGCATCGCACTGTGCACCCCACACACACACACACACACCATCCCCCGCCCTCGGCAGCGCAGACATTTACACATACATATATGTGCACACATGCAATCCTAAACTGAGACAGCTGGAGCAGTCACACCAGAGCCAGAGAGAGAGAAAGAGAGAGAGAGCCAGCTTTCTTCAGACGGATCCGAGACTTGGGCTTTACTGTATCATCTGCCAGGGTGCTGCTGGGAATGAGACGTCACAATCATAACAGCCCACTGCCTTATAAGGCAATTATCTCTCTCTCTCTCTATTTCTCTCTGTCTGTCCCTCCCCTCCCCTGTCGTTTTTTTTCCTCCCCTCTTCTTCAGACAGGGGGCCGCGGGGGGCAGGGATGAGTGATTTCAATTATCTGTGACAAAGACCAAATTAGGTACCTGGCAATTTCAATATGGCCTCTTTATCTGCATTAAGTAGATGGGATGTGGTTTTGATGGAGAGTTAATGCAGCTGCAAAGGTCTCACACTCCCGGACGCATTTGTTTCATGCAACATTTGCAGTGAAAAGAGAAGCTAATTTGTTTATCTTGCATAACAAAAATTTTATAGTAAATTATAGGGTTTTTTTTGTCTTATCATGAAGGCAAACGTTGCACTCTGCCATGCGCTCTCTTTCCCGTACTCTGGTCACACAAAGGCTCGGCGGCAGCAGCAGCAGCAGGCCCTGATCGATCTGTCAGCAGCAGCTTTGAGGGCACATTGAGACTTTACTCTCATTGACTACTTCACAATCAATACGCACTGATTAGTGGCTGGGGGAACTGGCGCTGGTGTCTGCTCTGCTGCTCTGATCATCCACTCACATTTCAACAAACATAAGCCCGAGTGAACACGAGATCCTCGGCACAACAGTTCGCTGTTTGGGAATCGCTGTGGTGATATAAAGAAAAAAAACAACTTTTCATTGGGTTGTCAAACTGTGTTATTGTGGATATTTTTCAAACATCCAGACCAGTCAAATGAACTGTCACAATACAAGTATTCACCTTGTTCTCCGTTTTCCTCATTTTTCACACTTAAATGTTTTAGATCATCACTCTCTCATTAGAAAAATATGTTTGTTTTTTTTAATTATTATGTATCCAAACCATCCTGGACTTGTGTGATAAAGTAATGCCCACCTCCTTTAAATCATTAAGTGTGATTAACCACCTTTTCTGGAAACGTCAGCTCACTTTCATGAGCCACACTCACATCTGATTACTGACAGACTCATAGAATTGAAACAATGACCTCAATAGAGCGTCTGTCAACAAGAAGTAGGCTAACGGCATCCCAAAATGTACGTTTGTGTTATGTGCTATGCGTGGCACAGATTGTAACCACACCACCGTTCAAGGGCCTTTTAATGGGTTTTAAAGAAGGAGTGTCTAGTCAAAGTCCGATTGAGACTTTAAACATGTTGTTCATAGTCAAACTGTTCCAAAGTGCCTTAAATTTCCTACAAAGGATAAGAGTTGGAAGAATCATCATTTGAAAGCTGGATTTTGTACTCATTTTACCTTGAATTTATTACCTCATACATTTTAAAAAAGCAAAAGAAAAAAAAAACTTTAAGAGGACAAATACTACAGCAAAGTACAAGCTTATGAGTCAGAGTTTCTTTGGGATGTTATTTGGTTTTTAGATAAAAGCCGGAAATAGATTAAGGCAAACAAGATATAAAATGTTTCAGAGAAAATGCTGCGTGAATATTATCTGAAAGTTATGTCGGTGAGCTGACTTATTGAAAACACTGAACTGAAACTTGTAGAGTAGTAAAAATTGGAGGAAATATTGGAAAAATAAAAATTGCAAATGAAGAGACAATAGAGACGAGTATCATGCTCAGCACAATGACAGACACATGGGCTGAAAGTGGACGAAATTACAGATGCTTGGATGCATTTGTTGTTTGTGAAAAGAGAAAATTCAAGGAGTTAAAAGATTTTGTTCAGAGGTGATTAAACTGTTCAAAGGTTGGTGTGTGTGTGATGTCACTGGCTCTAAAAGCTTTCCTAACAACAATCGATGTTTTTGGATGAAAGTAAATGAGCTTTACCAAGACAATGGGGAGTGATGAAAAACTGAAGAAAGTGGAAGAAGCTTGGTAGGTGCACCATGCACAAACTTTAGTATTTTTGAAGAATCTCCATGCGTTTCAATATGGTAATGTCTTTAAGTGCAACTGAAATGAAATTTAAAGACCCTGCAGAAGTTATAGCAGAAATGTCCTAAAAGAGTTGAACATTTTGATACTGTAAAGCCTGAAACAAACAGCACAATGACTGCAGAAGTAGTTGCAGACCAAAACAGCTACAGAGGCAGTTTTGACCGCAATGAGAGAGAAGAGTGAATGTAGAGTAAAGGTTTTTAGTAAGGTTGGTAAGGCTAACAAATTAAAATGTACCGAGAATGATCAGGTACTGGGCAGAAAATATTTGAAAAAGCAGCAAAAGTTTAATGAAAACCTTGGAAAGACTGATCTCAATCATTTAAAGGTTACACAAGAGATTGCCATCTGCTTGATTTTAATCAACATGGAAGGAAATGATAGACGTCTACTTGCCGATGCAGTATGACTTGACAAAGTAACAAGAAACGTCTCACTAACTGTTCTGCTCCTACAGGCCCAGAGACATGCTCTCATTAGAAAAACTATTTGCATCTAGCCCAATTAATCCATAAAAGCCATTGTGTCTCCCTACACCACATTTGATCGCTTCAAGTCAAGAACGGAAAAATCAACTCTACGTCGTGTTTGAGCATGCATGCACTCAACCGCCTCCCCCCGCCGCCCCCAACTTCCATGTATGGTGCTGCGGAGTAGCTCCGAGGGGACCGGCGAGCCTCGCTGCACCTCTCAGGGCAGCTCAGCGTCTGCAGCGAGTCTAATCCACTGAGCTGCAGGAGGAAAGAGTGCTGATGGTGCCCTTTTCCACCGACTAACCCCTAATCCAGCTGGCTGCGGGTCTGGAAGAATAATCCTGGATTAGGAACTCCTCCCCTGCGGAGCGGGCCATGGGGTCCCTTATGAGAGCCCCACCGCCTCCTCCCCTCCCCCCCCCGGCCCCCACCGCCACCCTCCGTCATAGTCAGCTGTGCCCGAGGCGCCCACAAGAGGACAAAACGGCCAATCCGAAAAAGAAAACAGGCAAACACCGACAGATTAGGCCTGAATTGCTGCAAACGTCGCCGTGTCACCCTGAGGGGAGCTGCGGCGCTTATTGGAGAAGAATAATGGTTAAGAGGGATAACCGTGGATGGGCCTTGTGATGTTACAAGTGCTTTTCTTTCGAGGTGACAAAGATGCGGATTCAAGACCGGGGAAGGGATGGAGCTCCAAACAAAGCTAACTGTTCACACGAGACACACTCTAATTGATGCATTGTTAAAAGTGGCAGCTATTGTCTTAATGAGAACCCTCACACACACGTGTGTGTGTCTGTTCCTGCCTTCGCATGAATAATCTAAACAGAAATAGAGCGCTATCGCAGACATACGTGGCAGAGACCAAAGTAGAACAAGACAGAAATAATGCGTTTATGCAGACGTAACCCAGCTGAGGCCACAAATGGTCACTTGAAAAGCTACGAAAATGTCAAAGCGACACAGAAGAGTTATTAAAAACATTACGTCACTGATCATACGGTCGATGGCTGTGACTCACTAAGGTGGGATGAGTCACAAACTCAGACTTATAAGAATAAAGAGACAATCACAAAGTCATCCACAGAAACAAACAAACAAAAAAACTGAAAATGAAAGAGTTAATTTTACTGAGAAAATTCCAACAACTGCAAGTTCAAGTTAAGAGTTGAATTACTCAGATCTAGTTGCTCCAGCAGCAATCAGCGGGGCTCTTTAATCTCTCCCTGTGACGTCTCTCCTCCGCACACAACCACCAGTTTATTTACCTGCATGGCTGCCCGCGGGAGACGGCCGCTTGCGTCAGCGCACAAATCCCACGTCCCCAGTGAGCAACAACAGGCGCTGCCTGGAGCCCTAATGCACCTGCATGTGGACACATCATGGCAACGGCTGCTAATGGTTGCAGCCGCGACATAATGAGTCACGGCTGCAAACTCTGAATTCGATCAGCATTTTAATGCACTGAATCATCCTAGTAAAAGAAGAGTGCCTTCTTTATGCCTGTTGTCGCTAACGCGTCTTCTAGAAATATGATTTTTTTTTTTTCCCTCAACAAATGCTCTTTAAATTTATAGCGCAGGGTGTTGCCCTAGGTGTGGGAAAAACAAACGGCACCTTCTGATCTGACGTGCTCCTGTTTTCACTGTCTGGTATTTTAAAAACGGATAAAAATGTTGTGTCTCTGGTTTCATTTGTGGATTAGTAGATACTGGAGATTTGTCATATACAGTTCCATGTAAAAACATTCAAGAGGTAATACGTCTTCTGCCATGCTCCAACCAGAAACGTTACTGTATTCATTACTTTGTCCTTTGAGAGAGAAAAAAACAGGTCCAGATTGACAGGAGAATATGTGTTGTCAGTTTTAAAGCATTGCCATATATTCTCAGTTTGAGTTAGGGCTGGACTTTGATTGGACCATTCTAGCAGCCACATTCTTTGATATAAACCAATGGTTCTGAATCCCTGTCATCAGAGAGCATCCTGCATGTTTTAGATGTTCCCCTGCTGTTACACAACAGGCTTGTGAGTTTTGCAGATCTTGATTGCATGCTGAAGAGGTGAAAAAGCGTTCAGCCCCACAGCATTATGCTGCCACCTCCATGTTTTACGATTTCAGGCCTTCTCACACATGTGCTCTCTGTTTCCGCATATTTATTTGCATTTCTGTTTCACCACATGAACATAGTCCACTACAGTCAGTTACATTTCTGGTTTTTTATGTGAGGCTTTAATTTTAGTACATTTTTGGAATTTTTTTTCCCAGTAAATCAGTCTGTTGGGGTTCTTTTATGCACAAATGTGTATCCTGCAGTTTTTTTCTTTAAATTATCCTTCTCAGCAACTCATTTCTTTTAACCTAATCATGCTATTTTTGTTAATTTTTTAAAATGTTTAAAATTTCCTGCATTGTAGAGTTTCATATCCTCATATAATTGTTCTGTTTTCATATATTTTTCCTTTGACTGAACATGAATATGCATGCTTTCATTTATTTTTACCTTGCTGCTGAGGTACCCAAATTTCCCCACTGTGGGACAAAAAAAAGAATGATTGTTTCTTATGTTTTGAGTTAAATTCTGTACGTCTCTTCCCTTATTTTCCTGCGAAGCAATTTAAATGATCTTGTGTGTGAGTGGTGGTGAATAAACTTGAATTCAGCATCATTGATAACCTGTAGAAAAAGTCTAAATACATCAATCCTGCACTTCTTTTATGTAGATTGCATTAATAGAATCCACATTTCAGATCATCAAAAAGATTCCATTTTACTAATTCATTTCTCTTTTTTCGCCCCTACAAAAATAGGACTATGTGCTCATAGCAACACGCTTCTCTTTCTCTCCCTTCTGCATGTCACACTTGCACGGTGTGTAAACTGGTCACAAAGTTAATGTGGCGCACACGACACCCTGCGATCCATCATAACGCCCGTGACACATCTTAGAGGCGTTCAAGAAGTCCAACAACGCCTGAGCTCTGAAATAAGCAGAAAGTCGCGTCTTCACCCCTGCTTCTCCCTCCCTGCCCCACATAGCTATTTTGAGAAATGCCTCATTTTCATTTCAATCTTCTGTATGATGTGCTGCACAGCTGCCATAAGCTGACTCCTTCACCTAAATGACAGTAACAGTTGAATGGAGCGCAGATGAGGCAGACTTGAAAGAGCGTCTATTGTGATCGTGAGAGGCCAAGTCAATCTATTTGCATTCAACAGGAGGAGGTGGGGGGTGAGTGGGGGGGGATCTATTTTTTGCCTTCTCGTGCTCGAACAGAGGGAAGAGAATGGGGGATAACCACAGCATTGATCAGTCCATGTCTTCTGTCACGCTTGATGAGTTTTACTCCAGGAGAGAAATAAGGCGCTTTAAGCACATGGCATGCTACGTGAGGAGGAGAATTTGTGCACGGAGGAGCTGCAGCACCGCAGCAGCAGCCTTTTTATAATTTCTATTGTGTGTTTTTTGCATGCAATAAAGGAGAATTGTTAAGAATGAATTGAAACACAGTGAGAGTTACAGCAAAGCAGGAAGGCTGATTTAAAAAAACAACAACAAAAAAAAAACATTTTTTTCTGTGGTGTAAATGTTGGAAAATCTGACCAATTTAGGAAGATTTACCATAAAAATCGTTAAATAGTCTAATGTAGTTTAAAACCTTTCATCTCTTTAACTGAACCCAATTGAATCCCATTTCTCAAGGTCCACCCTATATTATATCAGATGTTCATTTTGACTCATTTCACGTTTGCTTTGGACCGGGTTTGAGGAAAACCAACAACAGCAGAACAAAAATTTTAAAAAAGTGTCCAGTCTTTTGCAGATTCTTAGTTTTTTTTTTTTTTTTTTTTTTTTTTTTTTTTCTTTTTATCCCCCTCGGGCCTGGCAAAACT